GTAACCCACTTGGACACTAAACTGCCATGGGCTACATCTGTGCAGGGGTTCTATGTTATCTCCATGCCTTGTACTTGGTTGGAGTATGAGTCTCTGGGAAGACCCCTGTGTTCAAATTTTCTGGTTCTGTTGCTCTCCTGGTGGGGTTCCTGTCCTCTCCAGATCTTACTATTTTGTACTTTTTACATAAGATTCCATGCACTCTGCCCAGCAGTTGGCCATAAGTCTCAGCATCTGCTTTGATAGTCTGTAGGGTAGAGCCTTTCAGAGGCCCTCTGTGGCAGGTTTCTAGGTTGTTTCCTTTTTTCTTCTTCTGATGTCCATCCTCTTTGATTTACTGCTTTTTAACTTCTTTAGTTCTTTATATATTCTGGATATCAGCCCTCTGTCAGATATAGGGTTGGTGAAGATCCTTTCCCAGTCTGTCGTTTTGTTCTGACAACAGTGTCTTGCTTTACAGAAGCTTTTCAGTTTCATGAGGTCCCATTTATTGATTGTTGCTCTAAGAGTCTGTGCTGTTGGTGTTCTGTTCAGGAAGTTGTCTCCTGTGCCAATGAGTTCCAGGCTCTTCCCCACTTTTTCTTCTAACTGATTTAGAGTATCTGGTTTTATGTTGAGGTCCTTGATCCACTTGGACTTTAGTTTTGTGCAGGGTGATAAATGTGGGTCTTTTTTCATTTTTCTGCATGTAGACATCCAGTTGGACCAGCACCATTTGTTGAAGATGCTGTCTTTTTTCCATTGAATGGTTTTGGCTTCTTTGTCAAAAATCAAGTATTCATAGGTGTGTGGGTTTATTTCTGGGTCTTCTATTTGGTTCTATTGATCCTCCTTTCTGTTTCTACGCCAATACCATGCAGTTTTTATTACTATTGCTCTGTAGTACAGCTTGAGATCGGGGATGGAGATACCTCCAGATGATCTGTTGTTGTACAGGATCATTTTGGAGATTCTGGGTTTTTTGTTTCTCCATATGAAGCTGAGAATGTTTCTTTCAAGGTCTGTAAAGAATTGAGTTGGTATTTTGATGGGAATTGCGTTGAATCTGTAGATTGCTTTTGGCAGGATGGCCATTTTCACTATGTTAATCCTAACAATCCATGAGCACGGGAGATCTTTCCATCTTCTGATATCTTCTTGAATTTCTTTCTTCAGAGACTTAAATTTTTTTTTTCAAACAGGTCTTTCACTTGCTTGGTTAGAGTCACCCCAAGGTACTTTATGTTATTAGTGGCTATTGTGAAGGGTATTGTTTCCCTGATTTCTTTCTCAGCCCTTTTGTCTTTGGTATACAGGAAGGCTTCTGATTTTTTTTTGAGTTGATTTTATATCCTGCCACTTTGCTGAAGGTGTTTATCAGCTGAAGGAGTTCTTTGGTTGAATTTTGGGGGCCGCTCATGTATACTATCATATCATCTGCGAATAGTGACACTTTGACCTCTTCCTTTCCGATTTGTATCCCCTTGATCTCTCTGGAGATTGGGATTCTGGTCCAGATGCCTTCTGGAAAGTCCTGGGGCCCCTCCACTGGCCCTGAGAGGCCCGGTGCCTGGTGTGCCTAGCTTGTTTGGCAGGTCTGCTGGACTTTGGTGGCTATATAGCATACTGTCACTGAGGGTTTGGGTGGGCCGGACAGTCAGTGGCTGAGAGACCCTGAGGAGTCAGTATGGCCACTAGCACACCTGGGACCCTGAGAGGATGGTGCTGTGGATCTGGGACTCCAAGACCGGTACAGCTGGCAGTTGCCGCTAAGGGGCTAGGAGCCCCTCTTCAACCACTACAGACCCCAGGCAGTGAGCTCTGAGCTGAGAAGCTTGTTGAGTCAGCTGTGCTGAGGAGAGAGGTGTCCGAGAAAGGAGAAGTGCCGGGAGATCAAAGGATCATTTCTCTCCTTCCCCAAACAAGTCCCCGGGTGACCGAAGACCAAAGTTCTCACCTCATGTGATGTTCCTGTTGTTTAGAAAGCCTCACCATCGTTTTTCTGGCTTCAGAAGTCCATCCACTCACCAACTCAGGCATTCACCTCTTCGGCAGCTCAGAAACTATGTGCTAGTCTCCATCTTGCCTCCGCCCCCCTCATTTTTTATATTTTATTTTAATCTTGAGGTTTGTGTATACATATGTGAGTGAAGGTACTGTCATGGAGGTCAGAGTATAACCGTGGATCGTGTCACTGGTTGCCTAGACTGTCTGGCCGCAAGCTCTGGAGCTCTGTCTTGCCTGTATGCTTCCCCAGTGCTAGGACCTATGACTTCAAACTTGGGACATTCTTTCCATTCTTCAGTTAGTGGCCAATTTATATTTTTCTGCTTTTTTGACTGTGAACATTTATATACATTTATGTGTGTGTTTATTTTCCCCTGGTTCTGGGTATGGCATACAGGCTCTTAAGGATGGTAGGCAAGTACTCTACCACTGAACTGAGCCTGTTACTCTTGAGTATATCTATGAGTAGAGTTACTGGGTCATATGGTTATTACTCTTACTCTATGTAAAGAAATCTTTTAATCTCTTAGAATTTTTTTTTTGTTTAGATTTGTTTTATGTACATTGATTTTGTCCTCATGCATGCATGTTTACCTTGTGCCTACAGAGGTCAGAAGAGGGTGTCAGATCCCCTGGAATTGTAATTAATGGATTGAGTGCTGGGAACCAATCCTGGGTCCTCTGTATTCTGAGCCATCTCTCCAGTCTGGATCTTTTGACCTCTTAACAGGGTGTATTAAAGTTACTATCTTGCTTTTTCCACCAGTACTTGTTATTTTGCTAGTAGCTTTGATTCTTATTCCTTCATAACTGGGCACATTTATTTTTTATTTTTTTTTTTTTTGGTAATGTGTGTTGATAATACAATGGGTTGCACTTGTTTTAAAAATTATTTTATTGGGGGTTCCTTAAAGCCTCTTCAACCCCCCAACTCTAGGTAGGAGAGAGAACATTAATGGGGAGAGGGGTTGCAGACCCCTTCACTTCTCCTGGCTGTTTAGGGTCCATGGGTTCTTTTTGGGATCATACCAAACTCTGTCAACAGCAAAATCAGCAAGCATTCTCCACTGTCTCTTTCCTCAGAGCTGGTGTGCCACAAAGCATCTCTGCTGTCTCTAAACAGCCACTCATCACAGCTCACCCTTTCTCTTCTGGGCTCTTATTTATATCCCTCAGTGTCGTAGACCACACCTCTCTTCCTCTTCTTGCAGGAGGGAGGCCATTGTTACCAAGTGGCAAAGACCATGCCCCAAAGGAGGCAATTATCAGCTGTGGAAAAACTAAAATTCCACACTTGAGATTAAAACAAAAACATTTATATTACATAACTGGGATTTTTAAGAAACCAAAATTCCCATTACAAAAATGTAATCCATTTGTAATAAGTAAATGAAGAGAAGGCAGAACCAGTTCCATGTCCTCAGTTATATGGTTGATCCTTTTAAGTAAATAACTGAGATGTTACTGTCAGTGAATGATAAATGCAGTCATTAGTAGTTTGAGCTTCAGCTGTGTTATCCAACTTTGAGTCCTGGTTCTGCAATTCACTAAACAATTGTTATTCAATAGTGTGTGTAATGAAACCACAGTCCTCTGGAAGAGCATATATACACTTAATTAAGCCTTCTCTCCACCCATAAGTGAAAGCAGTCTTAAGGTTGAAAGATAATTTATATATTGGAAGGAGCCCCATCCTTTATCTTTTGAATAAAGGCATTATTCAGCATTTACATGAATTATTTCCATGAATTCATTCCTTATACTTTTTTTTTTTTTTTTGACCACTTGAGTGCCAAGCAGATAGTTTCAGGCATTTAGGAAGGAAAATTTAGTCTGATGGAGGAACTCTCTAAGCACCTTTGAAGACATTGCCCTTCCAGCAAAATGATACTGTTTTTTGTCACCTTGGATTAAGCAGAGGAGGTTGTTCTTCGTCCTTGTATCTTAGATACTTTGGCCTCTGCAAAATATCTTAGTATGTCCCCCCCCTTTTTTTTGTATGTACAAGATTGAAAGCTCAGACTTTTGAAATACGATTTTTTTTTCTCTGAAGGCAGGAAATTTGTGCTATTTAATTTGTGCTTTTTAGAGACATGGTGGACCTAGGAGCTGTCATATAGACAGTTAGATATCAGATTAATCAGGTATTATTTTTTTGTTTTGTTTTGTTTTTTGGTATTTTGTTTTGCCTTTTTTGAGATAGGGTTTTTCTGTGTGTAGTCCTGGCTGTCCTAGAATCACTCTGTAGACCGAGCTGACCTTATTTTTGGAGGAAAGATTTGGCCTGAGCTGCTATGTTGAACAGTTCCTAAGAGCTTCATTTATATTTATATGGTATTATGTTTGAATGCTGTTCTGAGTTGTGCTGTGCAATATTACCTGTATCTTCCTTGTATATCAAAGGAAAATTTTAGGTGGGGTTTATTGGCATGAGTAGAGTATGGCCTGTACTTCTAGGATTGATTTTATTTTGTTTGAAACAGTATCTCACTATGTAGACCAGGCTGTCCTTGAACTCCCAGAGATCTATGCTTAATCTCTGTCTCCTGAGTATTAGAGTTAAAGGCTTGTACTACCATATCCTTTGTAGTTTTGAGCTATTTTTAAATTATAACCATAATGAGAATATAAAACAAATTGAAAATTGTTCTAAAAAGGCTGTGTGTAAATGGTTGAGTCAAGGTAATTTATGCTTATTTTATCATTGATTAGCTGAGTTGTCATCTATTTAAAAAAAAAACATTTATTATGGATGTGTGGGTGCTGTGTGCCACAGTGCTGATATGGAGGTCATGGGTTAACGGGGTTTGTTCACCACATCATATGAATCTCAGGGATCAAATTCAGGTTGTCAGGCTGGGCGGCAGGCACTTTTACTCACTGAGCCATCTTCCCGACCCTGGTTAGGTTTTCATTTTGTGTTTAGGCATTGGCTTTTCAGAATTCTAACTGGATGATAATGCGTTGGATGTTTTCTTATCCATACTGATTCCCCATGTTTTGTCTGTCTAAAGTGTCAACCAAAGAAAACGTCTACACCACTGAAATATGAAGTTGGAGATCTCATTTGGGCAAAATTCAAGAGACGCCCATGGTGGCCCTGCAGGATTTGTTCTGATCCATTGATGAATGCGCACTCAAAAATGAAAGGTAATAATGTACGGTTGATTATTTGTTATGAAATACAATGTGGAGTCATAAGCTTCAGCTGTTTTTAGTATGTCTCATGATTTTTGTTTCTTCCATTGTTTTCTTTGGAAATTTCATCTTTTTAATAAAAGTTTGTTTTACTCTGAGTTTGAAAAGTAGTTAGACTAGGCATGTTGGGACTTGCCTGTACTCTCATAGCCTGAAAGGTTATGGCAGGAGAATCATGGATTTGAGGACAGCTATATAGTGAGGCTGTTTTAAATAATTCTCAGTTATACAATGGAAATGGAAAATTAGCTTTATCATTTATTGTATAGCCCCTTACCCCCTCTTATTTTCTTGGAGATGAGGTTTCACATATCCTAGGCTGGCCTTGAACTGATCTTCCTCCATCTCCCACATGCTGGGATTACAGGTATGTGCCACCCAGTTTATGTGGTGCTATGTGTAGCCTGGGACTTTGTGCATTGTAGGCAGGCACTTTACCAACTGAGCTCCATCTATAGTTTTGAGATTTTTCATTTTTGTTTTTTTGTTTCTAAAGACAGGGTTTCTCTGTGTAGCCTTGGCTGTCCTGGACTTGCTTTGTAGACCAGGCTGGCCTCAAACTCAGAGATCCATCTGCCTCAGCCTTCTTGGGCACTAGGACTAAAGGTATGTGTCATCATTCCCAGCTTAATGATTTTTATTTTATATGAATTGATGTTCTACATGCATGTATGTCTGTGAGAATGTTGGATCTCCTGGAACTGGAGCTTGAGACAGTTGTGAACTGCCATGTGAGCTCTGGGAATTGAAGCCTGGGCCTTCTGGAAGAGCAGCCAGTGAGTACTCTTAGCTCCTGAGCCACCTCTCCAGCACCGTAGTGTTTGCTTTTTAAATTTTTTTGAAAGATCTTATTTTCATTTATTTTTTTCATTTTATGTATGTGAGCGTTTTTCTTGCATGCATGTATACACACGAAAAGTGGTCCTGATACCTACAGAGATCAGAAAAGGTGTCAGATTACCCGGGACCAGGGTGTAGATGGCTCTAGGTAGGTGCTAGGAGCCAAAAACCAACCCCTGGTTCTCTTCAAGATCAACAAGTGCTCTCAAGATCTGAGCCATTTCTTCAGTCTTCAAATTTTTATTATTATTTATGTATGTGAGTGTTTTGCCTGCGTGTATGTCTTTGCAGCATGTGGGCACAGTGCCCGTGGTTAGGATCCTGTGAAACTGGAGTTACACACGGCTGTTGGTCACTGGACATGTAATTGAACCTGGGTCCTCTAGTATGGTAGGTAGTGCTCTTAACTACTGAGCCATCTCTCCATCCCTAATGCTTTCTTTTTTGGTTGGTTTCTTGATGGAATTAGGAACGTATCCTGAGACCTTGCACATACTACTAAACAAGTACAGTAAAGCTATTTTTTATAAGCCTTGGAAGGCTCCATTAGGATTAACTCAAGGGAAGTGATTGCTCTGGGAACATAAAGTAGCATGCGTGTGTTTTGATGCTGAGGGTGGAAGGCAACATATCATGCAGTGCCCGTAGTGTTGATACAAATTCTGTGCACGGTTCTAGGATGTGTGCTATCATTGGAGAACTATAATACACGCTTTTAAAATATTCACTCTAATTGTTGTGTTGGCATGGCACAGAAATTAGCAGCTGCTCCATTTGTATAGGAATGATTAAAGCTATAATGTCTTATCTGTGCATTTGATTACAGAAACTAATAAAATATCTTCTAAATAATAATTAGAGAAATTCACTATAAGAGCCAGGCATAGCTCAACTTCTAAAGTTCTTGCCTAACATGAATGAAGCCTTGGTATAATCCTCAACACCAAATAAATGGCATGTGGTAGCACAAGTCTAATTAGGTGGGAGGCAGAGGTCAAAAATTGTAAAATGGGTGCTAGGAACCGAGCTTGGGTCCCCAGCAATATGTGCTCTGATCCACCTCCTGTTTTTTAGACAGTATTCTGTAGCCAAGGCCGACCTCAAAATTATGGAGTTTAGGATGACCACGAACTCTGGATCCACCCGACTCCTGGATTGTAGGCAAGTATCACTAACCTTAGCTTAAGTGGATTTTTTTTTAACCTTTTGTTTTTCCCCTTCTTGAGACAGATTCTCACTATGTAGCCCTGATTAGACTGGAACTCTTCTGTAGATCAAACTGGTTTTAAATTTATAGAAATCTGCTTGCCTTTGACTCCTAAGTGCTGGAATTAAATGCACATACCCAGCCCTTGACTTATTTTTAGATATATCTCTTGATACAGCCCAGGCTGGCTTAGAACTCTGCCTTTGAGTCCTCCTGCATTGGGCTTCAGAGTTGTGGTATTAGTTGTGGCATGACCTCCTCCCCTCCCCATATGCCTGGATCTTTTGATACTTAGTTTGAATTATTTCAATCATTACTTTCTCTGTAGAAGTTGTGAGTTAGTGCTGGATATGGATGCTGGTAGTGTGGACTTAAGAGATGCCTATTCTTGTAATTCTAACACTTTTGAGGCCAAGGCAGGGTAACTATGAGCTTAAGGCCAGCCTAGGCCTGAGTTTAATGCCTCAGGAAATAATCCCTTAAAAAAAAGATTGTGTGTGTAGGTCATAGGACAACTTGGATTAACTCTCCCCCTTAGATTAGCTGCAGTGTCCTCCCACCAGCATTCACAAGCCCTGGCTGGCCTGGCTGCTGCTACCTCAGCCCACTGCAAGCTGTGCTTCTGCCTCTGTGCTTAGAACTTGTGAAGGACATAGCCACTTGAAAAAAGAAGCATCTGCTCCTGTTGTTCTGATCCTAAACTGTTCACCATGTTTGACTAACATGTAGACTGTGTCCTCTTACCTCCACCTAGGCCTCATGAGGCTAGAGGTCTCTTTCTGTTGGCTTCATTGCTGTATTCTGTGCCTAGAACAGAGCCTGGCACACTAAACTGGCTCTAAATAATGTGGACAGGACATGCGTATTGGGCAGCATAGAGCTTGCTTGCTACGTATCTGTTAGCTCTTAGTGTCTTGATGGGACCACGAAGGGTGCTAGAGCCAAGCCACTGATGCTGTTCTGCACTGTCAACCTGTGTTACTGTATGGACCAGTGGGGCTCCTGTGGGCTACAATGTGGGAGACTGGTCTGTCTAACATTGCCTGTGTTTGCTTCTGCTGCAAATTGAAAGCAGCCCCTGTGTCAGCTGTGTGCAGCAAGTGTCTGCATGCCCCAGCCCACAGCCACAGTGCCTAGGCAGGCTATGATGGTGTCTTTCCATTTTCTCCTCTGTGAGATGGAAAGAAGGAATATGCTGCATTGTGCTAAATTCCCAGGACACCAAAGCAGTGACCAGAGGGGATGTCAGCTATTAGACTAATATGATAGTTGGAGCCGGGTGGGGGTGGTGGTGGTCGCGCACACTGTAATCCCAGTAGAGGCAGATGGATCTCTGTGAGTTTGAAGCCAGTCTGGTCTACAGAGCAAGTCCAAGATAGCCAAGGCTACACAGAGAAATCTTGTCTTGAAAAAGCAAAAGACATGGAAAAGATTATACAAAATTAGTATTTTAGAAAAGAGATGTTGGAGATGGAGAGATGACTCGGTGGCTAAGAGCACACACTGCTCTCCTGGAGGACCTGAGTTTGGTCGGATGATTCTCAATGCTTTAACTCCAGCTCCAGGGGGATTTGATGTGTTCTTCAAGAACGTGTACACATGCACACATGCATGTGCATGTACACACACACTTAAAAACAAAAACCATAAAATATGTGTAATTGATAGATTGAGTTTGAGAATGTAGTTCTTTTTTTTCCTTTTCTTTTTTCTTTAATTTTATTTTTTTCTTATCAGTTATATTTTATTAACTCTGTATCCCAGCTGTGTCCCGATCCCTCATTCCCTCCCAGTCCCTCCCTCCCTTCCTCATCTCCACCGTGCCCCTTGCCAAGTCCACTGATAGGGGGGACCTCCTCCCCATTCATCCGATCCTGTTTTATCAGGTATCTTCAGGACTGGCTGCAAAGCTCTCCTCTGTGGCCTAACAGGACTGCTCCTCCCTTGGGGGGTGGAGAGGTCAAAGAGCCTGCCATTGAGTTCCTGTTAGAAATAGTCCTTGTTCCCCTCACTATGGGAAACCAATTGGTTACTGAGCTACCACAGGCTACATCTGAGCAGAGGTTCTAGGTTACATTCACACATGGTCTTTGGTTGCATGTCAGTCTCAGAAAAGACCCTGTGCCCAGATATATTTGCTCCTTGTGGAGCTCCTATCCTTTCCTCATCAGACTAACTCCCCTTCTTTCTTATGATTCCCTGTACTCTGCCAAAGGTTTGGTCATGAGTCTTTGCTTTGAAAACACTGCTAGTTAGAGTCTTTCAAATGCGCTCAGTAGACTCCTGTCATATGTTCAATGCGCATCCCATCTGTCTTTCAAAACGAGGATTGATAATCTTACCCCATGTCCACTCTCTTGATTATCTTTTTTAGGTGTATAGATTTCATTATGTTTATCATCTCTTATAGGTCTATATAAATGAGTATATACCATTTTTGTTTTTCTCCTTCTGGGATATTCACTCAGGATGATCTTTTCTAGATCCCACAATTTGCCTGCAAATTTCATGATTTCCTCCTTTTTGATTGCTGAGTAGTATTCCATTGTGTAAAAATACCACAATTTCTGTACCCATTCCTCCGTTGATGGACATCTGGGTTGTTTCCAGGTTCTGGCTATTACACATAAAGCTGCTATAAACATGGTTGAGCAAATATCCCTTTTGTGTACTTGAGCAAAGTTTGGGTATATACCTAGCAGTGGTATAGTTGGGTCTTGAGGAAGCACTATTCCTAATTGTCTTAGAAAGCGCCAGATAGATTTCCAGAGTGGTTGTACCAGTTTACATTCCCACCAGCAGTGGAGGAGGGTTCCCCTTTCTCCACATCCTCTCCAGCATGTGTTGTCCCTTGAGTTTTTCATTTTGGCCATTCTGATGGGTGTAAGGTGATATCTCAGGGTCGTTTTGATTTGCATTTCCCTGATGGCTAATGAGGATGAGCATTTCTTTAAGTGTTTCTCTGCCATTCGATATTCCTCTGTCGAGAATTCTCTGTTTAGCTCTGTTCCCCATTTTTTAATTGGATTACTTGGTTTGCTGCTTTTCAGCTTCTTTAGTTCTTTGTATATACTCGATATTAGTCCTCTGTCAGATAAAGGGTTAGTGAAGATTCTTTCCCAATCTGTAGGCAGGCGTTTTGTTTTGATGACACTGTCCTTTGCTTTACAGAAGCTTTTCAGTTTCATGAGGTCCCATTTATTGATTGTTGCTCTTAGAGCCTGTGCTGTTGGTGTTCTGTTCAGGAAGTTGTCTCCTGTGCCAATGAGTTCTAGGCTGTTCCCCACTTTTTCTTCTAACAGATTTAGAGTATCTGGTTTTATGTTGAGGTCTTTGATCCACTTGGACTTTACATTTGTGCAGGGTGATAAATATGGATCTATTTTCATTTTTCTGCATGTGGACATCCAGTTGGACCAGCACCATTTGTTGAAGATGCTGTCTATTTTCCATTGAATGGTTTTGGCTTCTTTGTCAAAAATCGAGTATTCATAGGTGTGTGGGTTTATTTCTGGGTCTTCTATGCGGTTCCATTGATCCTCCTTTCTGTTTTTATGCCAATACCATGCAGTTTTTATTACTATTGCTCTGTAGTACAACTTGAGATCGGGGATGGAGATACCTCCAGATGATCTGTTGTTGTACAGGATTGTTTTGGAGATTCTGGGTTTTTTGTTTCTCCATATGAAGCTGAGAATCTTTTTTTCAAGGTCTGTAAAGAATTGAGTTGGTATTTTGATGGGAATTGCATTGAATCTGTAGATTGCTTTTGGCAGGATGGCCATGTTCACAATGTTAATCCTACCAATCCATGAGCATGGGAGATGTTTCCATCTTCTGAGATCTTCTTCAGTTTCTTTCTTCAGAGACTTGAAGTTTTTCTCAAACAGGTCTTTCACTTGCTCGGTTAGTGTCACCCCAAGGTACTTTATGTGGTTAGTGGCTATTGTGAAGGGTGTTGTTTCCCTAATTTCTTTCTCGGCCATTTTGTCTTTGGTATACAGGAGGGCTTCTGACTTTTTTGAGTTGATTTTGTATCCTGCCACTTTGCTGAAGGTGTTTATCAACTGGAGGAGTTCTCTGGTTGAATTCTTGGGGTCGCTCATATATACTATCATATCATCTGCGAATAGTGACACTTTGACCTCTTCCTTTCCGATCTGTAACCCCTTGATCTCCTTTAGTTGTCTTATTGCTCTGGCTAGGACTTCAAGTACTATGTTGAAGAGGTAGTGAGAGAGTGGGCAGCCTTGTCTTGTCCCTGATTTCAGTGGGATTGATTTAAGTTTCTCTCCATTGAGTTTGATGTTGGCTATAGGCTTGCTGTATATTGCCTTTACTATCTTTAGGTATGTGCCTGTATTTCTGATCTCTCCAAGACTTTAAACATGAATGGGTGTTGGACTTTGTCAAATGCTTTTTCAGCATCTAAGGAGATGATCATGTGGTTTTTCTCCTTCAGTTTGTTTATGTGGTGGATTACATTGATGGATTTCCGTATGTTGAACCACCCTTGCATGCCTGGGATGAAGCCTACTTGGTCGTGGTTGATGATATCTTTGATGTGTTCTTGGATTCGGTTTGCAAGTATTTTATTGAGTATTTTTGCGTCAATGTTCATAAGAGAGATAGGTCTGAAGTTCTCTTTTTTTGTTGGGTCTTTGTGTGGTTTAGGTATCAGGGTGACTGTTGCTTCATAGAATGAGTTTGGTAATGTACCTTCTGTTTCTATTTTGTGAAATAGTTTGAGGAGAATTGGTGTGAGCACTTCTTTGAAGGTCTGGTAGAATTCCGCGCTGAAACCATCTGGCCCAGGGCTTTTTTTGGAGGGGAGACTGTGAATGACTGCTTCAATTACCTTGGGGGATATAGGGCTGTTCATTCTTTCTATCTGATCTTGACTTAATGTTGGAAGATGGAATCTATCAAGAAAATTGTCCATTTCATTTAGGTT